CGAACCTGAGCCCACGTTATTAGTTTTCTGATAGTGGTCTGCACATGTCCCATTTTGACAGCTGTCAACTGACCTTAATTTGGCTTGCCAATATAACTTTAAACGACTGTCAGCCAACTGACAGCCTTGCCCGGCGTAGTTTCGTTTTTATGTTGAATTGGTAAGTTTGACATATTATATCAGCTTATTTGTGGGGGCAAAACGACTGGTCTTTCATCTGAGCCCGCGAGATAGTCATGTGATAATTGTCAGCGGATGTCTGATTTTGACAGCTGTCAATCTAATCGTACTCATACGGATGGCTTACATAACTAAGAGGCTAGTCAAGTTGTGCAAGATCTATTGTGACATTTGACATCGGCTTACATGAAGCGTGTGTACGGGCGGGCGGGCGGGCGTACGCTACGTCATAACCAAATTTTCTCGGATGGATAGTTTACCATATTTTCTTACCCATGGTGCTTCGCGCGCGCGAGGAGCTCCGCTAAAATCCCACTAAATACTGTTTCTATAAGAACCTATATAGCCTAAAGTGGAAAAATCTAGATTCTTATATGCGGGTTTTTACTGTATTTTCTTGCAGCTAAGTCAGAGAAATGAATCTATCTCAAGCATATTTTATCAAATGTACGGCTTACCTAATTCACTACTGGCACAGACTCACAAATTTAGACTTATTCCAATTCCAGAGATGTCGGATTGCATAAGATTTTAGTAAACAGCTCCTGGTGTGCGGGCAAATTTGAATCCTATGCTAGCATTCCTAAGCTCCAAACAGTCAACCTGTGTCATGTCTCAAGCTAAGTAACTCAGTTAAACAATTCTTCATAGGTGAGTTACTCGAGAATCCCAAACACCAACTAAGCGATTGTCTTGGTTCCATTTCCAAAATGTAAACCCTTTTTTTTTCAACCTAGTTCTTCAACTGTCTAGTCACTGCGGGTCGTAAACCGGAAATATGAAAACTAGGAAATTGACGAATTCAGAAGAATCCTCATCCTAGTGATGGAACGAAACACAGAACGCCGCGTAGTCTATAGAATAAAAACTGATTACACTTCCCGCGCAACTGTTCCGTAGCCTCCGTCTTTGAGGTTATAATAGTGGGGATATTTCCACGGAGGCAAAGGAATAACTCGAGTCGAGTTTCTTGTAATGCCTTCAGGTAGCATCGGGTGTCAAAATATAACTCATAAATTTTTGCAAAAGGGGGAAGAAGATAGATCTCTACCAAGGAAAGAGATGGTGATGTCGTTCAGTTTCCCAATAAATTGACGATTACCAAAGAGCATGAACTTTGTTTTCTCTGGATTGATGAGAAGTCGGTTGCCGGTGCAACACCACTCTTCTACACTACTGAAATCGTTAAAAATTCAGTTTGACTTAAGGCATCTACTTTTTCGTTGGTTGCAAAGGAAATGAAGAGTTAGTGTCATCAACATATATAGGATTCGACTAGAGCAGCTCAAGATGATGTCTTTGCAGGTCGTTCATGTATAAACTCGGAGGGTCGTGTGTTCGATTCTCACAAGGAGCTCGGAAAAATTTTCTGAGCTTTCTGATGTTTGAATTCTCCTTCTTCTTTAACTAAATAACAAGGGCCGATAATAGATCCCTGTGGGACGCCATGAGATACTTTTAACGATGATAATATGGATGTTCCTATTGGAGTGGTTTGCTCTCTACTAGTAAGCTTTCAAACCAATTTAGAGCATTCGGTTATGTTCTTAGAGACTGAAGCTTGTTTATGCTTCATATTCCTTTACATGTTACGAAAGTTATTGATGTTGGCGGAGTCTCGCTTTGGGTGAGCTGTGTTTGCTGAGACACAAAATAATCTCAAACCCATTATGGGATATTTTGGCCACGGGAGTGTCCGTTTATTAAATTAAAGCATATAAAGCTGGGAAAACCAGATACACAAGAACATTATCCCAGCAAATTGTGAGGGCACACCTGCCATTCCCTAGGGTAAAATAAAGCTAACGGGAGGGAAGGGAGGGAAAAATGTTTCTGACTGTCTTGTAATGCGAGGAAGGAGGCTTGTGCCTCGCTTCTGTGACTTACATTATCCGTGACATAAATGATACTTTCGTGACAAATCACCCGGATGACAGGAAAACCCTTTTTTGTTGGTAGCTGGAGAAATACAATAATGATCAGTCACATTCAGCATAAAACCATTTATTTCTTTCAGAAATAAATCTTCATTTAACAAGGTAGCGTGGCTGATGTTGTCGAACGCCTTACTTAGATCAATAGGCACCAAGGCAGTAACTTTCTTAATTCTAATTAAGAATTAGTAATCTCAGTAATT